GAAAAATTTCATTATAAAAGAAATTTTTTTAATTTACTCAGTCTTAAAGAATTTTATATTTCATTTAAAAAAAAACTATTATAGAAAGCTCATTTCATGTTGAACAGGTTCTTCTATCTCATGTAACAATTGGCTCCGCTGTAGCTCGGAAAGTAAACCAAAAAGAATGATTAATAAAATTTTTCAATTTCTTCTCAAAAGAGGTATGCTTGAAAAATTTGATTAAGATTCTTCTTACACCCGCTCCCAACATCTTCGCGATATAATAAACAAATGAGACTTGGCAACGCGGCCTGACAACTGCAGCAGCAGCCAAGGCCTGTTAGACTTTTATTTTTCTTCTTCTCTTTTTCTCGTGGCCTCTCTTACACTTGTGGTCCCCTCCCGCACCTTTTCCAGCCTCACTAGTGTGCCCTCTCATTGCAGTTTTGCACTCGCTCTTTTTCTCTCCCCCGCTTTCCTCCCTTTTTATATTTACTCTCAACTCTTTATACTCTTACTCCTAACTTAACGTTCAACTATACACAGTGAACACCACACAGCTCTTATTTGTTTCTTATTTCAGTATTCACTTATTTTTCACGACCAAAGCTTTATTTTTTTATTCTTATTCTTCCTTTCCTTGCCTTAATTCTCTATTTTTATTCTTTAACTCACCCCCTTGGTTCACCGATGCTATAATCCCCCATCAAAGACGATCGCTTTCCGCCCTTCAAGTTTATTTTTACACTCACGTTGTTTTTTTTCCTTCTGCATTGGGTATTAACTATGGTCAGTCATTTTCTTTCCCTTTATGATTAAAATTCTAATAACAAAGAGAAAATGTACTTCTTACAATCACTCATTTTCTAGAAATTATTTTCATTATAAAGAAACAGTAATTGAAATTAATGTTCTTTTAAATATTTAATTAATCTGTTAATAACATTTATTGATAGATTATGATGATATTAAATTTAATTGAAAGATCATAAAAAATGTATGAAAAATATTATATAACTTATTTTTCTACATTATTTCAATGACGATTCTAGTATTATCGCATAATAAGTATAGACAAGTACTTGGTAGTGTCATCGAGTTGACAGAGGGGCGAGAATAAAGCCACGCGACTGCTCATGAGATCTAGCTTATCGTGACGTCGCTGATAAAGCCGCCATCACGGATAGAAGAGTCTATTTTCGTTTTAAAGACTCCACCCAGTTTTTTATCACCAACTTTCAACTTTTCCATTAATTAAAAGTTCCATAGTTTTCATTTTGTTTTTTTTTCCAACACGGTACAAAAATCGGTTAATTTCGAGAAAAAAAAATGATTCTCTTATCTTTCAATAAATGTATAATTATTAATCTTAATGAGTTGAGTAATTAAAATAAATTTTTTTAGTCGATCATTAAATAAAATTTAATTAATTAATCGACATAAATTGATGTTAACGTGAAATCAATGGACTAGAAATAATCCGGCTGGTTATACATAAGTCCAGTTGAAAGGATCCAGACGACCTTTACGCCCCACTCTCAACTGATGTCTAACACCTCGCAACTCCGTCTGGCTGGAGTCTGAGCAAGTCAATTCGTTGCTGGAAAAATTGACGATGACTACAGAGCCAGTCAGCTCGCGTGAATAACTTCCTGAATAGCGGAACTCTCGACATGAAGAAACATACAGATATTGCAGTGAGAAAAGAGTAAGAAAGAGCGAAAGAGAAAAAGATGAAATAAAGATAAAGAAGAGGAAGAAGAAGATTCTGCATAAGGCTAAGAGTAGGCGCGAATTATTCTCATTGGATATTTCTTACAGTCGCATCAATAGGTTAACTATCGATTGGTTGAATACAAGAGAATCGTGCTATTTTAATCGATATCTTCAATGCGATTTTTTTTCAAATCCTTATCAACACGACTGAACTGCGGGATCTCTTTCCCTCCCCTTTCTCTTCCCTCTTCTCCCCTCATTCCTGCTATTTTTCCCGCTTTTTCCAATGATTGCCCTCCTCAACTAGACAAGAAATTGTCCCCCTCTTTTAGTTTGCAACGCTGCTTGCTGGGCGCACGGCGCCGCCGCAATCTGTTGCTTTTTTCTTTTTTTTTCATTTCTAATTTTTTAAACATTACTTAAAAATCTATTCATACTTTTTCTCAGTTGATTATCAGTACAGTTTAGCTTTCTACAAGTAAATTTATCATGATTAAGAAGAAATATCTTTTTTTTTTCATTCATATTGTTTAAAAGGATTAATAATTTTTTTTTTCAGTAAACTTGTTTAACAGTTATTTGAATTTTTTATTGAAATATTATCTTATATCTTGATAAGACAGTGAGATGGCGTTCTTTTAGTGTAGTGGAAAAATATAAATATTTCCTCTGATAGTTTTTATTTTTATTTGTTTGATTAATGTCATTGTATTTACAAAAACAATTCCATTGTTGTGCACAAGTGACCGACATAGTTTTTTTTTTATATTAAATTTTGAAGTTCAATCAAGTGTTAAAAAAAATGATGGAAAAACATGGATATTATTATTAACATTATTTTTATTGAGGACTTTGTTCCTGAGTGTTTAACCACCGTGTCAGTTACGCAACGTTTCTCCCATTTTTGTTGCATAATGCTCGGATTTATCGTATCAGTAAAGAATAATAATAATTTCAAAGCAACGTGAAGATGTTTAGTGGTGGCGAGAGTCATGGTAGTTTAGACTCGCGATGGACTCCACCAGTATCGGGTGCGTTACCACCAACACCACTAGCACCACCTCCACCGCAAAGTCAACACCAGATTCATGTTCGCCCAAATGGTCCATATGCCCATGATCATCCACCTAGTCACCCACCGTATATGCCACCACTTTATCAGCATCCACGACTACCTTCTCAGGTAATACTACTTGGTGGAATTACCATTTCTTTCTCTAACCATCCAAATTAACAAATGAGAACCTTAATAATTACACTTTCTAAGAAATATATATATATATTTTTCTTGCTTTAAATTCAGGTTTTGATAATAAAAATCATGATAAATAATATCTTTGAAAGTATTTTTACATGTTAAATTTAATAAAAACTCGTTTCATTCAGTTTACATTTAAATTCCACGTTAAGTTTGTAGGATAAGTTAGGTGGAAGAATAGTTCACTTGAATAACGTATTTCTTTTTTTCATTTCTTTCCTGTTCAACTAAATTCTGTTTCAATATAAAAACTACTTATTCTTTAAGGTAGATCTGGTAGCTTATTTTTTATTATAATTTTATAAAAAGAAAAACTTCTCGCAGGTATTTTTATTATAATGAAAATAATATAGATGTTCTTTTGAAAGAAAATTTCTGACAAAATAATTATAAACATTAAAATTAGAATTCAAGTTGAAACATCAACTGAAAGCTTGTACCAAGTACTTTCTCATTTTATTCACGTGGTACACCTACATATCAGAACATATGTGAGGTGCTGGCTCTCAGCGTGGGTGGATACAGTGTGTCACGTGTGTCCATGTTCATGAGTCAGTTCGGGATAGTGCGTACACACGTTCCTACCTTCCTTCCTTCCTTTCTAACTTCCCTTAGGGCATATGGCAAGCAGGTGAGACGAGGCAGCTTTGTTTAGCATTGCCTGTAAAGTAGCCTACTTCGAGCAGTTCATGAATTACGACTCTAAGATAATAAAGAAAAAAGGGGTGAAGACATAAAGAAAGTTAGAGAGAATAGAGAGTCCTGCAAAAAATGACCAAAAAAATTTAATTACTAACGACGTAACGATTCTCCTGTCTCTCCATCGTCTATTTCCTTGCTGCTTCTTCTAGTATTATTATATTTATAATAATGAAACACCAAATCAAGTGGTACTGCTTCTTAATGCAAATTTTTTTTTACTTTCGTTTCCGGTGATAAATCAAGAAAAAGATCCTAGAAAGAGGGTATTTTCCATGAGATAAAAATATGATTAATGGTCAGAACGAGATTCTGAAGAAAAAAAAACATCCAAAATTACAACCCCTTCAGTGGTTTCGTCCAAAAAAATACGAATAATTTTTATTCTTTTTCTTTTCTATAAATTTCTTCAATTATTTCGCTTAATAATTATCATGAAAATTATTCATTTTTTACACTTCAATTGTTTAATGAAATATTTTCAACATTTTAATTTTATTCATTTTTAGTGGAGGACAATTTTTTCTATTCATTATCATAGACTTTGGAGAAAATCCAAGAATTCTTAAAACAGATTCCAGAAATCTCACGAGGATTAAAAAGTACAGCCACAGTTGGTTCAACCCTTTTTTAATTCTCATCACGATTTTTTATAAAAAAAAAAAATTGATATGCTGAGAAAAAAGAAACGAATGAAATTAAATGATAGAGAATAATGCGAAGAAAGTTGGAAGAATCTTAAGTGACAATTTTAATTCTTACTTTTGTTTCAATTTCGTTTATTTTTTTAACAATTCTAAAAAAAAGAAACTTTTTTCACTTTCCTTTTGACCATTTGACTCATACCCTAGCTCACGATAAAGCATAAGATTCTTAAAAGTTCTCACGAGATTTTTCGATTTTAATTACAGTTTTAACATATTTTAATAAAATTCTTCTAGTCCTTTCATACCCTTTCTTTTAATTCCGTCTGCCGTTTGTTCTTTCCCCACACCATTTCTTGTTCTCTCCTACTTTATCTTTTTTTTCTTAAAACATTTTAACCCTTTTCATTTAGATATCCCCCACCTTTTATTCGAATTTTTTTCGACAAATCCAACACCTGTTCTGTTATTTCTACAAATGAGTTAATAAAAATTATTTGAGCCATCACCAATTGACACAAAAAGAATTGTAAAATTTATTATAGATCATCAATATGAATTATTTTTCAATATTTTTTTCTTGTCATAATTGATAAAATCATTTAGAAATATTTATGTTTTAATGAGGGTATCCGTCAGTGATTTAAAATCACAGCCCAATGGTTCAGCAAAAAGTACAGCGTACCAACTAACCCTAACAGTTCTTCTCGCAGATCTTCATGCACAAGAGCGCAATGCAGAGTGCAATGCATGCGAGAGATCTGGGTTCAGGTGGCCTGGGTGGAAGACCGGGTGGAGTACCCGGCGGTCTTGCTGGTCTTGGTGTAGGAGTTGGGGTCGGCGTTGGACCAGGTGGAATGATCACCGGGAATGAAGTAAAACCACATCAGTGCCAGCAATGTCTCAAATCCTTCTCCAGCAATCATCAACTTGTTCAACACATCAGGGTGCATACTGGAGAAAAGCCTTACAAGTGCAGCTATTGTGATAGAAGGTTCAAACAACTGAGTCATGTACAACAACATACTAGGCTACATACTGGTAAGCTGAATTTTTCTTTTCGTTTATCAATATTTTATTTTAACTATTGCTTCTTTTACTAATACTTTTTATTTGTTATTTAGCATTTTTTTTTCTTTACAAAAACAATTGCTTGTTTCAACAACATTTATGTTTTTCTATGTTTACTATTCATTAATCAAAACTGAATTTTAGAAACAAAAAATAAATATTTGAGTAAATATTGATAAACTATAATTGTTAAAGTAATTTTTGTACGGAGTATATTTTCATTTAAATTGATTGATGAATAGTAAAAGCAGAAAGAATTTAATTAGCAAATAAAAGTAGTCACTTGGAAGAGATTAGCAAGGGAAAACGGTCAATCGTACTCATACAGTAACCCTCGATGCATAAAAAGCTCGTAAGAGATTCGAATAAAAAAAAAATCGTGGCACGTGAGCAATTGAATTGTAGTCTTTTAAGTCTAAATATCTTTTTTGTTGACCTTAAACTAATTGTTTGTCGAGACAAAATGTATTCTTAGATGAGTAGTAAAACTAAAGAGAATACGTACAGTTAGTTATATGACAATCACGTGGTAGAATCTCTGATTAGATTTGCCAGCTCTAGATACGATCGATGAAGGTTTAGTTTAGTTTGTAACACGAGTCTGTTCTATAGAGTCTATACATTCTATAAATGTACTCATTTGACCTTGTCTTAACGAGACTCAAAGTCATCATGTCAAAGCCCAATAGACATATCAATTAATAAATTATAAATTACTGTTTAATTATTCTTTGATTACTTGTCATTGTTCTTATCATGTTAAAAATTTTTAAAAGGGTTTCTAAAACTTTAACTAATTATCAAGCCACCTCAAATGGTCAAATAACTGAAATTCAATATCATTTAACAAGAAATATATATGCGTGGAACTCTAAAAAATTCATTGACTTGCATTAAAGGTATTGTAGCTGCTTTGATATAGTTGTAGTTAATATAGATACAATTAAATATTGGTAGAAATAATTGAGATTCCCGTCAGAAACACTGAAATTGGTTAAACGGAAAATGCGACATGTCCTGTTGGCTGTGAATTGGAATTTTCGTGTAATGACTAGTTTGAATTTGCCGCGATTTTTAAAATTTAAAGCCAACAAACATTGGGTAATTATAGGGAATATATAATTCATTGATAATGAGAACGAGCGAGAGAGAAGGGAGAACATTGGAACTGAAGACTAAAAGAGAATTGGAGATAGGACAGGAATATAATATGAGTGGACACTATCGATAGCTGGTCAATAGAGGCCGTAGACAAATAAGTTAGGGATGCAAAATCCCTTCCCTTCCTGAACCCTCGATTTGGATCGGTGCATTTTCGCAGTGGGGGAACACAAAGAACCAATCCCCTTTCGTATATCCCCACTCTTGGCTTGTTGGCGCCAAAAAAGCGCGGGAATTTTTACGATTGAAAGCCCGTATCGCTCAATAATAGTGAAGTTGTGCTCTGTGCGCACACGCACTCTCTAATGTGCGCAGAGCTGTGTCAATGTATCTTTCTCTGTTACTCTTATAGCTGGTTTCCATTATCGGACATGTTCTATCTGCATATCGTATAAGCTATTTTCTCCCTATGCGTGTGTTACTCTAACGCATAATACACGAGGGAAGTCGGCTACAAGTGAGATATACCCGTTGCCTGAAGCAACCGAAGATTATCCTGCCATTCCCCAAAATTCGATTTTCAAACCAAAATCTAATCAGTGGTTCTCTAATCAGTTTTACCAACATTCACATCATCTGATAGATTTCTTCTGGCCGATATTCATTTGAAAATTCATTATTCGATCAATTAATTTGTTTTACAAAAAATTCATTGTACAGTAAAATACGACGGAGCTTTTTTATTTGTCATAGGGTTTATAGAGAAAGGAGACATGAAATGACCATTAATATTGAATTGAGAAGAGAATACGTAATGTTGTAATAACATCAAAAAAATTGATGACAAACTCCCGTTGTAAACTGCACCCTCTCGATCTTCATCGTCAACCCTTTTACTCGTAGGACACTTGAAAAAGTCGTCACGTACTACCGACGAAATTGACCGGACAATTTTAAAGCCTTACCCATTAATACTGAGAAAAATTGCTATTTCGTTGGTACATGAATAAAAATTAAGGGTAATTTCCGACTTTCTTCGTTACATTTTCATGCACAATTAAAAAATTTCATCTAAAAATTCTTCCAACATATATGTTGGAGAACTGTAAAGTCATACTTAGTTGTTTTAGAATAAAATGGCATGAAATGTACAAATTCGATGATTTGATGTAAAAAATCTAATGAATTTGGATGAATTAGCAAAAAGTAGTCTGAAAGGAAGAAATTGGGGGTGGTAGTTTGTCTGAAAGAAGATATTATACGTCTTAGTGACTTGGCCTTGTGACATTTTGTCCTCAGTAGAGCGTCATCTTAACGTTTTTCTACTTTCATTTTAACTACCTCCACCACCCCTTTCATTTCTCATCCTTTGCTATGACCACCTTCATCCCTCATTCCACTTTTAATTCGCTAATTTCACCCGTTTACAAATTCATGCGACGGAATACTCAGACGTCTCAAGAAAAATCAAAGCAAAATGCTAACTACTGGGCCTGTTTGATGCTCTTTTTTTCTCTTATTATTTTTTTATGCTTTTTCATCACAAATGGCGTGGAATTAAAGATTTAACAAAGTGAAAAACCTCTAGAAAAACTGTCTCTCTTAGAAAAAATAAAATTATATTTTTTTCTCGTAATAAAAAAAACGTTGTGACATCACTGCAATATTAATTAGTATGTCGTTTGAAAAATTCTTTATTTATTTCAATGATTATTTTTATCATGCCTTATGGTCAAGAGAAATGAATCAGTCACTTGTTCCATATGGATTTGAATACTATTCTAATTGTTTCCTTCTCTTTCTCTCTTTTTTTTTAACCCTTCCTTAATTTTTTTTTCGTTCCATAAGGGTTAATTTGAATAGAAAGTCGTTAATACAACACTAGTCCACGCCTACACTTTCTTTCTTGCGTTCAATTCTATATAAAATACTCTTCATCGCTTACCTTTTTTCACTTATTTAACTTTTTTTTTCTACATACCAAAGAGTCTGATTACTATACCACATTTCTAGGCTTTCAGATCAGCCCTTCTTCAACTTCCTCCCTCTTGGTTAGAAATAAAAAAATAATGAAACGAGAAATTAGCTGTTGATTATAGGGCTCGATTGTTTCTTTAACTAGTAGGTGGATAGAAAAAAAAATAATTATTACTTTCTATAGCTCACTTTTTACATAATAAATTGAATATTAAAGAATAAAGTATCCCTTAATTACTACTCCTCATATAAAATAACATACGTATAAAAATTATTTTTTTCGATTATTTATTTTTAATTAATGGTCTAAAGTATGAATTCATATCCCTGAAACCCGGAAGTGATCTATAAAGTCAATTATACTCACATATAAACTAGTACTACCGTAATATATAAAGTTAAGGGCAAAAAGTATATGTGTATGAGGAAAGAAACAACTCTCTAATATTCTTTGAGCATGTCTGCTTTTTCTTTGATAATTAAATTTTAATGGTGAACCAAAAGCTAGTGGAAAACAGTATGATAAACCACAAGAGTTAAAAGCTTTTTTCCAAATAAAAAAAGTTTTAATCTGAGTGTATTTTCTTAAATATTCATACTTCACTATGTGTGATTATGATTTTACTCATTTTTAATCTCACTTAGGACAAAATACCGAGGAAAATAATCAAAATTGTCAAACTAATAAGTAATACATAATATATTATTCATTGAAAACTTACAAAGTTTTTTATATTTTATAATTACAATATTTGAATTTTTCTAATTGTAGACAATACTAAATAATAATTAATCATCTTAGAAATTTATAATCAATAATATTTTATGTACCGGTTATTTAATGGGTGTAGATAATGGTCATTTATGAGGGATTTTACCCTAATTTTAATTATTTTTTCCTAAATATTTTTAAATATGATACATTCGTTCAAATATGAACTGTAAAAAATAATCTGAAAGAATAAAAGACAATTCATGGAAATAAAATCATAAAGATTACAAGAATTTACAATATATAATCTTATTGACTTTTTGCATCACTCGTAAAACGATTTCCCTATTCTGATTATTTGCTTCTCGAGTAATATCTATTTTTCTCTGTTTTTTTCTATATTTTTTAACATCCACGACGAGTGTCTTATCTTATCTATCGACTGATATACCGCAGAAATGCATCGCTAAAAGTTGTACATTTTACTGCACGAATATTCTACTATGGTTCATATAAATTTTTATCTTTAAATTAAATGAGTTGCGAAGAATATAAATAAATGCACAAAAAATAAAACTTTTTATACGAAATAAAAGGTTATTAGGTCACGGTTATAAGAGCTTATGTATTCAAACATATTTTGTAAGAATTTATATATATCCGGAATTCCTTCAGCGGTTGATTGAAGACAGCAAAAGCATATATAAGAATACATAAACGTAAGTATAGTAAGGAAACTTTAAGCCTCTCTTGCATGATATTAATCTCTCGCGGAGGTCTGTCATTATTTCTCCGACACCTGCAATTTATTCCTCTCTTTACGAGGCTCTAATATCCAAGTCTCTAAGAACAAAGAAGTCTTTAATTCTTTAATTCAACATTGATTCTTTTGCATAAATTATAGACTGAGAAAACATTATTATTAATCATAAATACTAATATTTAATATTTCAATTATTTTTTTTTTTTCTACAACATTTACAAATGTTGATAATTTTGAAAACATCACCGCTTATACGTAATGATTATCATTATTGGTAAAATAAAAATATTTTAAAAATATTGATAATAAGTCAAGGCTAAAGAGTAACTGTAGCATCTTTAAGATAACACAAGACACCTTAAAGCAAACTTTACTGTCTTGCTAATACTCTTTTATTCCCCTAAGCATTACTGACTC